AGTGTGTGTGAGTGAGAGTGTGTGTGAGTGAGTGAGAGTGTGTGTGTGTGTGTGTGTGTGTGTGTGTGTGTGTGTTTGCAGTGTATTATAGTTTGTATTTCATTCAGAAAGATGGATTGTGCCCACGAATGAAAACTGAGACACATTGCTACTAGTAATAGTTAAATGCTGCTGTTCAGTTGTATAAATTAGGGCGATATCTAGTTGTTTTTATTTTTTATAAATGTATTAATATTTATTTTATTTATATTATTTATTAATAATTGGATGTCTGACCGAATTAAGTAAATAACTTTTTTTTTTTTTAATTAACCAGTTTCTTTGTTTAAAAATGTTCTGTCAAATTAAAGGCAGCTGTTCATTTAGTTATATGAATAAGGGTGTTGTGTAGATTTTCGAAATTAATTTATTCATTATTGTTTATTCTATTTATGTTGTGATTTAGTAAATTATATTTTAATTATTGCGCGGCCGCAATATTTTATATTTAATTATTGGGAAGTCTGTCAGATTTATGTGAAGTGAATTCGGTTTGTTCACAGAATCAGTTCATTTCACTTCAATGAAGCAGTTTACTTGAAATAATTACTTGAGTTTTACGTTTTTGCTCACAGATAATTAGTTCAATGCTGCTGTTCATTTAGTAGGGTGTTGTGTATTTTTTATTAAATTAATGTATACATTTTTATGTATATTACTATTTATTAAATTACTGTTAATAATTGGAAAGTCTGAATGACTCAGTTCATTCAGAGAATCAAGTAATCAGTTCATTTCACTGAATTAAAAAATTATGCAAATGTATATTCGTTTATATGCTGCTGTTTATCTGATTTTTTCACAAAATGGTATCAAGTAAGGATGTTTTCTAGTTGTATTATTGCATTTATTGTAAATTTATCTTAACTTTATGGTGTAATAACCTCAACATACTTGAGAGGGTAATGAATGATTTTGCAAAGTTATTTAAATTTTTTGTGCTGTACTTCAATACATTAATAAGTACAAAAGAGTCTATAAACAATGAATGTAAAGTTATTTTATGCTTTACATAATGCAAAATTAATTATTTTCTTAAATGTAAAAAAAATTATATTAAATGTATAATTTACTTTTTATAACATAATTGCGATTCCCATTGTTTTGTGCTATACTGTTGGCAAAAATAATTGTCAGATATTTGTAGTAGATATTGTCTTCTATAGTTTAATGTAATTAGATACACTTTTATTTAGTAACTTGCACTCTAGCAACTTTTTAAAAAGACCAGCTTTCAGAAGATGGCAAAAGAATTTGTTTGCATAAGAACTATTAGCCAGAATCAGGTTTAATGTTGAATTTGATCTTCTGCTCTGAAGGTGCCAGAAGAAACGGTGAAAGAAATCACAGAATACAGCCGGACGATGCTGGAAAAGATGGAAAAGGCCCGGATAGAAGCGAACTACAACGAGGTACTGATGAGTTTGATACAGACGAGCTGCGCCGCTGAAGATGAAAGCGCAGGTGTTTAATGTGAGCGTGTGCGCAGGTGGTGAAGATCTGCCGCGAGTGTGTGGAGAAGCAGGAGAACGTTCTCGCCGACACACACATTTATCAGCTGCGCATGTGGAGCACGCTCAGCGAGGTGCTGTCCTACCTGCAGTTCTTTGAGGAGGCCTCAACATACGCACGCAAGATGGTGGAGGGATACTTGTGAGTGTGTGTGCATGCATGACAGAGAGAGAGCTTTATACAGTCATGCACGGTTAAAACACCTTTATATGCACGCAAGATGGTGGAGGGATACTTGTGAGTGTGTGTGCATGCATGACAGAGAGAGAGAGCTTCATTCAGTCATGCACAGTTAAAACACCTTTATATGTGTGCAAGATGGTGGAGGGATACTTGTGAGTGTGTGTGCATGCATGCATGAGATTGAGAGAGAGCTTCATTTAGTCATGCACAGTTAAAACACCTTTATATGTGTGCAAGATTGTGGAGGGATACATGTGAGTGTGTGTGCATGCATGTATGAGATTGAGAGCTTCATTCAGTCATGCACGGTTAAAACACCTTTATATGTGTGCAAGATTGTGGAGGGATACATGTGAGTGTGTGTGCATGCATGCATGTAAGCGAAAGCTTCATTTGGTCATGCACGGTTAAAAACACCTTTATATGTGTGCAAGATGGTGGAGGGATACATGTGAGTGTGTGTGCATGAGAGAGAGAGAGCTTTATTCAGTCATGCATGATTAATAACACCCTTATGTGTGTTAGGGGTGTAACTCGTCACTGGTTTCACAATTCGATTCGATTACGATTATCATGTCAACGATTTAATTCAATTCGATATCACGATGCATCACGATAATATCAAATTTATTTTGTGCATTTTTATTAAATTATATAAGCAGGCTGCTTTTTAAAATAATTACAAATTAATAATCAATAAAAAAGTTGTTAAGAATTTAACCAACTAAATACAGCTTCAAAACATACAAGCACATATAAAGGGGGAAAAAGACAATTACAAGTGATAATAAAAAAGTACTTTCAGTATCTAAGAGTGCTTTAAGTATCTGAAAGTTTACAGGCAATCATAGTTATGGGTTTTTCTTTTTTCCTCAGCATTATTGCTGTTTGATTATTACTGATGAGATCATAGACAGCGGCAGTTCTAATAGACTAATGCACAGATCTATTTCGACATATCAGATGTTTTGTCCTGTTCTGAAAACATAACTGACTGTGTTTACATCAATTTCGTATCATAAAAGTAGATGCAAGTAGATTTAACTGTGGCCGCAAGCTTCTGGACAAGCAAACAAACATATACACAAACTGCACGTGAAAGTCTGTCAGTGTGTGAGTTTCGTGCATCTAATACGTACTGCAGTCCAAACGGCAGAAATGAAGCATATCTAAAGTAAAACACTGAAATAACGGCGAGTGGAAGCACAAGTCAAGCAATGTCTCCCAGCGCATATTCTGTGCAATGAAGCCCGCTGCGATTGTCTCTAGCAGTGTTGGGGAAAGTTACTTTTAAAAGTAATGCATTACAATATTGCGTTACTCCATAAAAAAGTAACTAATTACGTTACTTAGTTACTTTTTATGGAAAGTAATGCGTTACATTACTTTTGCGTTACTTTTTAAATCTGGACAGGGCTTGCTTGTTTGTTTTTAAAATAAAAAAGTTATATTTTTGGCAAATATAAAACCCTTTTCACACCAAAAGTGAAATGAATAAGCATCAGGTTGAAGGGAAAGTTGGAAAAATAAAGTAACTTGCGTTACTTATTTAAAAAAGTAACTCAGATATTTTAAGTAATTAAAAAGTAATGTGTTACTTTACTAGTTACTTGAAAAAAGTAATCTGATTATGTAACTCGCGTTACTTGTAATGCGTTACCAACAACACTGGTCTCTAGCGCACACACTAAGCTTGTTTTTTCCCAAAATGTGCCCAGATCTCGGATTTAAAAATAGTGGGTGCATTTTTTTAATACTGGCGTGACAAGCGCTTATGCGAATGGCGTCAGCAGGATATAATCGATTACGGTCTATTACCGCATTGATGCAACGATTAATTTCAACGGCCCTAATGTGTGTGTCTGTTGAATTAGGAAACTGTACCATCCCAATAATGCTCAGCTGGGAATGGCCACAATGAGGGCCGGCGTGACGCACTGGCAGGCCGGCTTCATCGAGATCGCTCACGGCATGATCTGCAAAGCCTACGCTATCCTGATGATCACCCACGGCCCGACACACCCCATCACCAAAGACCTGGAGGTAAACACGATACTAACCCTCAGTGGCGTTCAGAGCAAAGTTATTGATATGCTATTATAGTTTTATTGATATTAAGAATTAGTTTTCATTTTTATTTTCTTGTTTGTATTTAAATTTTTCAGTAATTTTGCTCTATTTATTTGCTTGTTTAAATATTGTTTTTATTAATATTTATTTCAATTTTAGTTCTTTTTTTAGATATTTTAGTACTTCAACTTTACATAAAAGAGAATCTCAAAAGCATCTAGATGAAATAAAATAAGTTTCGTTTTTTATATTTTTTTTTTCCAGTTAACATTTATTTAAAGTAACAAACAAATGTTTAATTATTTATTTTTAGTTTTAGCAAGAAATTAGTTCATGGGCAAATTATTCGCTATTACTAATTACTCATATTTCATGGTTTACGTTATACAAAATAAATTATTTTGCAAGATACCATGCATAAATAAATTCAAAAAATCATGTTAAATATATTTTTGATTATAAAAATAACAAAAAGATTTTTTCAACTTGAATGCATGTCATAAAGTATGCATTATACTGTATATGAATTACTTTATGTACAATGCATTACAATAAATGACCATGCATAAAGAAGTAAAATTGATATATATGCTTAATAATAAAAATGCAAAATATAATAAAAATGATTAAAATATTTTCGTCGTGATACATGCATTACTTTATACAAAACACATTACTTTATGCAATATGTGTTTTTCTTAGATGCCATGCATAAATAAGTAACAGAATTGAAGATTATATACAAATATAGTAATATTAAATATATTTTTAATAATAAGAAATATTAAAAAATTCCAAATTGAATGCATGATGTCAGAATATATGTTTTACTTTATGCAAAATAGCTGATTTTGTGAGATACCATGCATAAACAAGTGATAGAAATTAGAATATGTAAACAACAATGTAATATTAAATGTATAATGCAGTTTTTATTAATAAAACATAACATATAAGAAAACATGATACAAAGATTATTCCAATGCATGATGCATGACTCTGATATACAGTACAAGCTTCCCAAGTGCATTTGAAAGCAACATATGCATGACTTTTCAACTCCAAAAAAGGACTTGTTGAGCGTGTGTCACCCGGACAAATAACAGCATGCGTGTTTAGAAGGACATGTGTTTGAACATGTCTGTCTCCTCCCATCAGGCCATGCGCATGCAGACGGAGATGGAGCTGCGCATGTTCAAGCAGAACGAGTATGTGTATCACACCATGCGCGAGGCGGCGCTGAAGAACCAGCCCATTAGGATGATGGCAGAACCGGCCACCGAGAGCATCAAGAACCTGTTTCGCAGAAAGTGACCGAACACGACACTGTGACAAACACGCTCAGGTCGACACTATACACTCACATCTATGCAGACGCTTTCAATCAGAAAGAGGAACAAAAGCAGCAATATTCAGAATAAACGCTCTTAAAAATAAAGGTGCTTCACGATGCCATAGAAGAACCTTTTTTGTCTAAATGGTTCCATAAAGAACCTTTAACATCTGTTTCACAAAAGCTTCTTTGTGGCGAAAGAAGGTTCTTCAGATTATAAAAAGCTAAGAAAGGTAAAGAACCTTTGACTCAATGCTTCTTTGTGGAACCAAAAATGGTTCTTCTATACCTTCTAAGCACCTTTATTTTTAAGAGCGTATAATAAGTTAGATATCTAGATTAGGAAGCAAAGCGCACACAGTGCTGCTTCAGTTACAGATTCTGCATTTTCTAGATTCATTACTCTGCACGATGATTGTGTGATTTTTTTAGACTCTTTTTTGTTTTTGAGTGTCATTTTGAATTGTAACGTTTTTTGTAATTAAAATTGCATCAGGTTTAAAGTAAGATGTTTGTGTTTTAATTGCTCTCTCGGTGCTCAAGAGATCGAACGAGTTATACAGCATTTTGTCTCAGTGTTTCTCCTCGAACAGACACAAATGAGCCATCATTCAGAAAGAGTCTAGAGCTGTAAAATCAGTGCTCGAATCATTTGATGAGAAATGACTTCATACTGACTTGTTTGCAGATTTTGAGCACAGTTTGAGATATTATTTTCTGAAACTCGAGAGGAGACACACATGAAATTATCAGTCTTCATTGTGTTTTTCTTTCTTCCAAGAGTACCAGTGTTATTTTAAGTATCATTGAGATATCATTTTTGTGAATATGTTGAATTAGATTTTAATTTGATATTTTCTGATTTTACTTAAATTTTAGTTAAAGTTTTAGAAATTGTGTTGTGTTTTTTTTCCATCTTTATTAGTTTTAGTATTTTTTAAATATGTTCATATAGTTTTTTTTTATTTATTTGTTCTAGTTTATTTAGTTTGTTATTTTACTGCTTCAAATAAACTAAACAGAAATGTTGCCCTTATAATATTCTAGATTTCAATTATTAGTGTTCTGTTTTCATTTTAATTTAAGTTAAAGTTTATATATATATATATATATATATATATATATATATATATATAGTGTTTGTTAATTTTAGTTTATCTATTTTTTAGTATTAAACTTTGAATTTAACTAAACAAAAATGTTGCATTTAATATTTTGAATTATATTTTAATTATTTATTTTCTGTTTTCACGTTACTTTTAAAGTTTTAGCATTTTTTTTATTAGTTATTTTAAATATATCTATATAGTATTTATTAAATTTTACTCATTAGCTTTAGTTTAATTAGTTTTAGTTATTTTAGTACCTCAAGTTATACTAAACAAAAATCAGAAATGTTGCACATGGCAACCAGCTTAAATAAAATAAGTTTACTTTTTTACCTTTTATTTCATTGAATGTTTATTTTATTTCTAATAAGGAAAATGACATTAGATAGTTTTATTTTTAGATGAACACATGCACAACACAAACCTTCTCTTTCAAATAATACAGATAAACACACAAATCTGATTTTGAGAAATCTTTAATAAAAATATCCCTTTATGTTATTCTTTTTGTCAAGTCATGCGAGTGTGGTCTCTTTTTAGGCCAGGCGTTTGCTGATCCTCTTGTAGACGAGGCTGCCGAGAGTCAGAGTCTGAAACACAACAGTAATCACATGAGTTTAACTCTATAAAACGTCACATGTGCGCTGATCTCACTCACATCGACCAGCATGTTTCCATCCACCAGCTCCGTGACGGACGTGACTTTGTTCAGGACGGACTTTAGCTTGTTTCCCTCTTTATTCACAACAGCCTAGAACACAAACGACAGCATTATCATCAATGCAATGAGACGTAAACTCATGCATGCAGGTCTGTGAGCGCAGCGTCACCTTGATTTTCTCTCCGGTCAGGGATTCGATCTCGGTCTCCTGTCCGATGGTGAAGCTGTTGATCATGACTTTGGCTCCGGTGGTGATGGTCACTTTGAACTGATCTCCGTTCTCCTCGATCTCAGTCACGCTCTTGATGTCTTTGCCTTTCTCAATCAAATCATCAGGAAGACCTGAAATGATAATCAAGTGATGAGCAATGCAATACGTGAAACACTCAATGCAGTACATAAAATACTCAATGCAATACGTGAAACACTCAATGCAATGCATGAAATACTCAATGCAATACATGAAATACTCAATGCAATGCATGAAACACTCAATGCAATGCATGAAACACTCAATGCAATACATGAAATACTCAATGCAATGCATGAAACACTCAATGCAGTGTATGCAACTGGGCATTTTATCAGCATTTCATTTACATCCAGCATTCAATTTTGATTTGCACTCACCGATGGCCTTCATGAACTCCACGAATCCCTCCTGACTCTCCAGCTGATATTTCCCACTGAACGACATGCTGACCGGTGAATGTAGAGTAACTCCAGAGAGTCTAAGAGATGCTTTTATATCGTCAAACACGCAGATGAAGAATCATTAATCTGACTGGATGATCCTGATTGGCCGATTACTGTGAAATCAGTTTAAATGTCATGTGGGGTGAAACAGTGCTGCACAGATCTGTAAAAGGTTAGGTTTGATCAGATCCTGGCCTTCACCTTTGCCCTCATCAGCATGACATCATCACCAGGGCTATCTAGTGTCAGTGAGACACTATTGTAGTTTGTAATCATTTCAATTAGATTTTTATTTTCTGCTTTCACTTAAATTTTAGTGGAAGTTTTAGTGCTTTTGTTGTGTGTTTTTGTCATTTCTATTTTTGTTCATTTGTCTGTATTTTTTTTATATTGTTTTATTAATTTAATTTCTATATTTTTATTTATTTAGGTAGTTTTAGTTTACTTAGTTTTATCTATTTTAGTAAGTTGAACGAAATGAAAATAAGTAATGTTGCCTTGACCACTAGTTAAAATGAGTTTACATTTTTTATTTCATTTCAGTTAAGATTTATTTTATTTTCATTGTGTTTTGCTTTAGTTTGAATTATTTTAGTGCTTGAAGTTAAACTAATCAAAAATGTAAACAAAAAATGTTGGCTTGGCAACTAGCAGAAAATAAAAAATGTTATAATTCGTTTTATTTCAGTTAACATTTATTTCATTTTTGTGTTTTTGCCAGTTTGTTTTGTTATTATGTCTATATAGTTGTATTCATTTTTTTTTAATTTCAGTTTTAGTTTAAATTATGTTCGCATTTCAAGTTAAACTAATCAAAAATGAGAAATGATGGCGTGCCAACTAGCTGAAATAAAATAAGTTTTATTTAAAAGTTTTTTTAAATATAACTTATTTTATTTAAATTAATATTTATTTAATTTTAAGTGACAAATTATATAGATATATATAAATAAATATATATATATATATATATATATATATATATATATATATATTATATAAAA